TCTTTTCCTTCTCCTTTTGCTTTTCTACTTTGATTTGATATTGCTGCCGGTGGCAATTGCGAGCTATACTTAGCATTCTTTTCCTTATATCCCTTCCGCCCTTGCGTTGTCTTGGGGAATTCGTCTTTCACTTCAATTGGTTTATCCTTGCTGCGAATCCTTATTGCTCCCTTCATAGGCATTGCATTATTTACTATCCCTTGATATTGGGGGGTTTTGACCTTGCGACTCGTCATCTCGGGACCTTGAATGTTCCGGACTCCTTGAAAGGAAGTCTGTTTGGATCTGTTTATAGTTTTTGATTACTTGTTAATATTGTTTTCTGTGTTTGTATGTCTTCAAAGCTCCTAAATCTTTCCCCTCTCCTGGCATTCCAAGCCCTCGACCTTCTTGAGGACATTCCAAACATTCAATCCCTATACTCTATACTATCCTTGAGCGCCAATTGACCTAGATTGTGCAGGATCAACCCCAGCCTCTGGCGATCCGATTCCTCCCCTCCATCCTTGACTATCCAACGCCACTTGCTTTCGATACTTATCTTTTTTTTGGATTTACTGAACGATGTCCATTGCACCTATCGAATAAACGCCATCGGTCAGTGACCTCAGCGGCTTGGAGAAGAATTTAGTCACGGAACCGACAAGAGATGGAACCAATGAAGCCACACATCCCCCCGTTAAAGATCTCGAAATCCAATTCGAATTTATCCGAGTCGAACAACGACACATCTATACAGAGTCGATTCTATTCCGCCTGGGGCTCAGAGATGACCCCTCCGTTAACACCACAAGACGCCCAGGACACCAACATGGATCAATTTGAGGCCCCAAGGCCTGTCTTTCACAACTATCTGCGCGCCTTCTACCCTTTTCACCCGGCCGGGAATGTCTCTCCGTCGACCGTCACTCTCCCTCTGGACCAGGGAGATATCATTTTGGTACACTCCGTTCACACCAATGGCTGGGCCGATGGTACATTATTAGATTCAGGGAATCGAGGCTGGTTACCCACGAATTACTGCGAAGCATACGACCAATTACCTATGCGTCCTTTGTTGAAGGCCTTGACTGATTTCTGGGATATCATTCGAGGAGGATGCGGGTCGTCACTAAAAGATTTTGGGAACCAAGACTTGATGAGAGGCCCTATCGCTGGCGTGAGGTTTCTATTGGTAAGTACCAACTAGAACTAAACAACAAACCACAGGGCTTATGATTCCACAGGAAAAATCAGAATGTCTTACTCGAGAATCCTCCCTAATAAGGAGGTTCGATGGGCTACGCCGAATTCGCAAGGCTTTGCTATCGGACCTGTCTTCGCTGGTGAAAACTGCGAAGAAGTTTCAGGAAGTTGCCAACGGGATCCCGTCGGAAGATGAAGTTGAGGCTATTTTAGATGAGATGCTTCTCAAGGCTTTCAAGATTGTTACCCGGGGAGTTCGATTCCTCGACGTGTGGAATGAGGAGGTAGGCCTGGGTAGGACTATCGCCGAGTTGGATGGCCCCAGCGAGAGCCTACCCCAGTACAGCATGCCATTGACTCCCGCATCTGAGAGTTTCAGCCTAGGCGAGAATGATGGGCCTGATCGATCGGAGTCGCGAATGCTGGAATCACGGCAGATGGGCCATAGCCGTATGAATATGAGTCGGTCATCGATGCGCACTGAGATGGTTGATCACAGACCGGTATCCGTCGCTACGAAACGGGTCTCTGTATCCCATCGCATGTCAGTCTCTGGTCCTTCTACTGCCATCGGTGCCCAGAATCTGGCATCCGAACGCCTCGGGATGACATATGATGCGTTCCTCGGCGTGCTTGGCTCATTCATCGGGCTTCACATGCAGTCCCGCTCCTCGACAGAGTTGGTTGTCACCACCCAGCAGGCTGTCCAATCGTGCAGGCAATTGCTAAATGTCGTCGAGGTGGTGTGCGAGCATGACACACAGCGCAGCGTATTTCTCGAACAGGCGCGGGAGTCAATGTGTGAGAAGCTATCTGAGCTTGTTCACGCTGCACGCGATGTGTTCCGCCCCGCACACCTACCAGACGATGATCTCGTGTTTATGCCAGACGAAGGGAAACGCCTCGTGGAGGCTGCGACTGAATGTGTTCGAGCAGCCGGAAACTGTTTGGCAAAGGCTCGCCTGGTGCTTGAGCAAATTGGCGATCTTGAACTTGACCCTGAACACTATGAAGAGAGAGGACAGGAGTTGTCCAGGATTGACTCTCCACAAGAAGATTCTGAGACTCCCGTAGAACAGGAACGACAGGAGCTGTCACTTCGCCTTCCCCCACCTCCTCTTCAGATTCCTAGCACCACTTACTCTCCCCCCACACCTGCTCTCACTGACGCTACCACACCTTCATCTTTCCAGTCTCATATCATAAATTCTCCTGCCAACATTACAGCACTTTCCTCTCTACCCAATTCTGCCATCCTCCCCACCCACCTAGAGAACATCTCTTCCTTCGACTCCGCCCACACTAGCTACCGTGAAAGTCATCCCAAGTCTGACATGAGCGAATCGTTTGGCCGTGGAATTACAAGCAACGGTAGCAGCTTCACATATAACAGCTACGCACGTGACTCCGAGATGAGCGGTCTCTCGCAAACCTCAACTCGGGCTACCTCACCTGATATTGGGGGCAGCTTCCAGGGTAGCTTCACGGTCCACTCGCTGAAGGAAAGTCTAAGCTACTCAACCCTCGCCGAGGAGAATGAGGAGACTGAGGCCAACATCCTGGAAAGGACTTACGCGCACGAACTCATTTACAAGGAAGGTTCGGTGATGGGAGGCAGTCTCCGTGCTCTTATTGAGAAGCTGACTGCTCACCAATCCACCCCTGATGCCATGTTTGTCTCAACCTTCTACCTCACCTTCCGTCTCTTTGCCACCCCTCTTGAGTTCGCCCAGGCCCTTGCTGAACGCTTTGAGTACATTGGTGACACACCTCACGCTTCCGGACCCGTCCGTCTCCGTGTATACAATATCTTCAAGGGTTGGCTCGAGTCCCACTGGCGCCACGATCGTGACAACACCGCCCTGGATTTCATAGTCAATTTCGCAAACACACGACTTTTAACTGATCTCCCCACTGCTGGTAAGCGGTTGCTGGACTTGGCCGGCAAGGTGTCCGCAGTGGGTGGGCCTCTCGTGCCTCGCTTAGTTTCTTCCATGGGCAAGACCAATACCTCCATTGCTCAATACATTCACCCAGATACCCCCCTACCTCCTCCTGTCCTTGGCAAGAAGGAGCACAATTTGCTCAAGCAGTGGAAGAACGGCGAAGCCTCAATAACCATTCTCGACTTCGACCCACTTGAGCTCGCCCGTCAGCTCACCATCAAGGAGTCGCGCATCTTCTGCTCAATCCTTCCTGAGGAACTCCTGGACACCGAATGGATCAAGAAGTCAGGCTCGTTGGCTGTACATGTCCGAGCCATGTCGACTTTGTCGACTGACCTTGCCCATCTCGTTGCTGACTCCATCCTGTACCTCGAAGAGCCAAAGAAGCGGGCCGCTACCATCAAGCACTGGGTCAAGATTGCGAACAAATGCCTCGAGTTGAACAACTACGACTCCCTCATGGCTATCATCTGCTCATTGAACTTGTCTGTGGTCTCTCGACTGAAGAAGACTTGGGACATCGTATCACAGAAGACCAAGAATGCCCTCGAGCAGCTCCGCAGCATCGTGGATGTGTCTCGCAACTACGCAGTACTTCGTCAGCGTCTTCAGAACCACGTGCCTCCTTGCCTCCCATTCGTCGGTACCTATCTCACCGATCTCACCTTTGTCGACCACGGCAATCAATCTCTCCGCACCCTCTCCACCGACGACAGTGAAATGGCCGTCATTAACTTCGACAAGCATATGAAGACAGCTCGCATCATCAGCGAACTCCAACGGTTCCAGATCCCCTACCGCCTGACCGAAGTCCCGGAGCTACAGGCCTGGATGCAAAATGAGCTCATACGCGTGCGCTCACACGGCGAAGAAACCGTACAAACCTTCTACCGCCGCTCTCTGGTCCTTGAGCCCAAAGAAACCTCCCGCAGTGCACCCACCCTTCAGTCCCAGCCCGAGTCCAATCCTTCCATGCTCGACAATGCCAAGGACAAGTTCGACTTCCTCTCATGGACCAACCAGTCCAAAGTAAAGTCTGTCCCAACACACGGATAAATAACTTCCTTCCGCCCACACCATCACCTATCCCATTCTTCACAACCTAATGACTGATGACCTCTTCTCATTCCCTATTTACTGGTGTTCTCATCAAACATCCTTACTCATTTTCTTGCGATCTGTGAATATCCCATCATTCTTGTCTTACTTATTTACTTCTTTTTATTCTTGGGCGGTACTTTTATGTTTTGTTTTTTTTTTTTGCGATCTCTTTTTTGAGAAAAGTGGCATTTGAAAAGCGGCTATGGAACGGGGCCCAGGACTACCCAAATGGAGTTTACCAAGGGCCTTGTTTATCTGTTTTGTTTAATCTCTTCCTTGTCTATTCTGTTCTAATTTCGGTTGGGAATGGGCAAAGGGACAGGTGGACTGGAAAAAGGACTGCTATCTGTCAACTGGGCGTTTCCTACATCGGATACCCTCTAAACAATATTCTTGCCTCACGGCTTCTGTACAGGTGCAACTCTTAAAAGCTGCCTGAAATGCAAAATACGCTTTAATTTTAACCGTTTCTTTATCAATCGTAACTGTAACTCGGTTTCCGTCTCGTATCATGTCAACGTGTGGGCTTCCTCTTGTTTGAACTCCTTTTCGTAGCCACCGCAGTGCTGAATTGGGATTCATTTCTGCTTCCCGCTCCAAATACTATACAACTTTGTGATTGAAGTCACCCTTAGTGAGACAGGGACCCCGAGCTATCCGAATTAAGAAACTCTGATGCCTTACCCCGGATTCTGTCCTCACATTTCTGCCTGACTACTACCCCCCACCCATGATTTTTAGATAGAAGCTCACAAGCCAGCTCAAAAGCTAGCGTACCAGCGAGAGCCCGCCATTAACAGGCACCAATTGACCTGTAATCCAGCGCGAAGCATCCGAAACTAAAAACGCAAGAACAGGAACCAAGTCAATCTCCACATCCCCAAACTTCTCCCCAAGACAAACTCGATCACTCATGAAAACACCATGACCTTCAACGCTCTCCGCCTCAAGATTCTCACGATAGCCATCAATCATGGGTGTCCAAACAGCAGGGAGAACCGCATTAACACGGATCCCATACTTCCCCCACTCGCGCGCAACAGCCCTCGTAAAGCTCTGCACGGCACCCTTCGAAGCAGAATAGTGTGCCAGAAGCGGCAGTGGATCAAACGCAAGATCAGACCCGAAATTTAGAATCGTACCGCCCCGAGTCTTGAGGCAAGGAAATACAGCTTGGTTCATGAATATCGTTCCCTTGATATTGACATCTAGCATGCGATCCAGCTCACTCTCAGCGATGGTCTCTGCAACATCTTGGTGGATGTGGCCTGCTGCGTGGACCAAACAGTCCAGTCCACCGAGCAACCGGACAGCGGCTTCCACGACCGCGTTGCACTCGGACCTGACTGCTACGTCGAGGTGTTGGTATTTTATTTTGGAGTTGGGGCTTTTGGCAGAGATATGCGACGCGAGCTCTTGGCCAATGCTGTCTTGGATGTCACATATCACCATGTGCACACCATGCGCGGCGAAGACTTCGGCTGTTGCTTTGCCGATTCCGGAGGCGCAACCTGTTATCAGGACGCGCTTGCCGGAGATTGAGGGGATTATGTGGCAGGCTGTTTCCTCTGAAGGGCAGTCGCCGTGGGGGGTTTGGGGGCACATTTTGATTGGAATTATTACGGATGATGGATTTGCCGAGAAGCTTAGTTGGTGGTTTTTCGCTGTTGGTTATGACTCAATCTTATATAGACCCCTTTTCATACTCTATGTAACCTGTTTGTATGGATTACGATGGCTCTAAAACCGGCTGAGTTATGTACACCCCGAGTCTAGGACTGGGATCTATAGAGTGGCCCTTCCGTTGGAGAGACACTAATAGAGAGATACAACAATGCTGGCACTGGGAACACAAAAGCTTTGTGTTTCAGGAATGATGTGCACAGAACGATAGAGTTTACAGGTTAGTGTTGATCTGGAGCTTCGCTCAAAGATCGACTAGGAGCATTGTATAGTTAAATGATCTAGCTGAAGATATCTGGCCCAAAACAAACTTGATCTAGAAATAGAACGTTCGATGGAAAGAAAATTTACCACATAACTAGAGCCACTAGGATGACGAGACGGCCATTAACCCTTTGTTTGCTGTGTTAGGGCTGAATTTGGTGCCACCTAAATAGCTCGTGGATCATGTTTTACGTCCGTGGTTTGTCATACATGTACACCTGTGGACCTATACAACATATACATAGCTAGACGTACTAGAATAAAAATCAATGGCCCTTTGGGGCACCACTAAAATGATAGAAAGCATGGATAGCTGTTTATTCAAAGTCATAAACTTCCCCACCGCAGGGTTGATCCTTACCGATTCATTGTATGACTGGAGTATAGACGTTATCCTACTGGAAGCCTGAGCTGAGGTTGTGCTGTAAGGTTTATTTGTTTTCTAATACTAAAATAATGAGCGCTCTAGTTTCCAGTGGGATTGGCCCGTGGAGATGCTCAAGGCTGTGGCCAAACACCAAAAGTAAAAACAAATACTCCGTGACAGAAAAGAATTACTAGAACGAACACGCTCTAGAAAAAAAGTCTGGAGAAATGATCTACTTGATGAATGTCCGATGTTCTCTGAAACATATGTCGTTTTTATAGGATCCAGCTTTGTATTGTGCTTTATAATTCGAACGCATTCGTAATTGTACCATACACATTGCTATTTAAAGTTATTCCAACCTGTTAGAGTATACGAAGTAATTCTATTCTATTACTATCTTTATTAGTGGCCAATCCTTGCATGAACCCCTCTGCCATGGCTGCGAGGATTTTCTTTACAATCCCCAATACACATCCATGCAAGGGATATGTCCAAAGGACTTCAGTTTCAAATACAAGAGAGCCTCCAAGCTGTACATTTGAGCCGACAGATCGCCACCATTGTATTGAGGTATTTGAGTACGGAGGAATGCGACTGCCTATACGGTGTACTCCACAAGCGTCAAACCAATGCAAGCCTAGGACATATTGAAATGTGTCGACGTTCTGCACGATCTATCTGGTTGCTGCGGATTCATGCAAGAATATGAAATCCTTCAGGTTTACGGAGTACCCCGTGCTATGCAAAGTGTCCAGCTGCGCCTCGCTCAATGCTACCAGGTCACATCTAGGCTTGACCTAAATACAACATACGCAAGAGGTGTTTATTTCAATATTCGTTCGTTTTACGATGTATTAAAAACATGAGTTGTATTCTGTTTGTCAATCTGAGGGGGAAATGTGACCTGTCATGACATTCAAATATTCTACCGATTTCAGCACAGAGGCCAGAGTGGATGATAGAGATTTTATGTCAGTTGATTCGAGAATCTGGGTCTATGGTATAAGGATGTTAGGCAGAGGCAACAGGAATATCATTCCAGCATCGCCGTCTTGTTTGCCTGCAGTCTAGAAAACTCCAAAACGAAGCAAAGAATTCACAGAATGACCGCCAATGACAAGTATTTCGGGTGCAAGTTTAATATTTGGTAGGTCTTAACTAATATATCACTCAATGTACACAGTTCCAGCCCAACGCCTTTCCATTAAGATATCCCCAAACTTCCTATATGAGAACCTTGGAACTAAACCAACTATGTTACATAACGTGTTTTGAACGCCGCCACAAAATCCAAATCCATCCCGTCGTTATCATAAGCGGATGCTCTGGTATCCAAATCTAGCGGAAATAAAACAGCAGGATCAGACAGGGATCGTAAATCAAGTATAGGGACCATTGAAGGGCGGCCGTGGGCACATTGAAACGGGAAGGCACAACGGGCCAGTCTAGAGACCAACGCCTGACACTCTTCAAGGTTCAACGGATCATTGAACATGATAGCAGTGCGACAGGCACGGGAGTTAAGAAGATCCACGATGCCTTGAGGGCATCCATTCATCTTCTGAACCCATGAGCGTGAGGTGGATGATGTCGAGGTTCCTTTGTGTACCGCATCGTCGTTGTCTGATAGTTCGAGATCCTGGTCGGCACCTTCGGCTTCAAATGCTTTCTTCGACTGGAACAACTTTCTACCATCTTCCTCACTTGACCAGATCTCACGTCTCATCAAGTCAATCAACACACGAGGCTCGAGCCGACAACGTTCTGCTATTAGAACAGGAAGAGTATGCACGGTGATCAAGGCAGTAGATTTGGTCTTGCCATGTGTCACATACTCAATACCCCAGGCTGAGAAGAGACCTATATATTTTTGGAAGAGGTCATTCTCCGTTGATGAGACTTCAAATGCCAAAGAACCGACTTGGACAGTGTGCACTCGACTTCCCGACTCCAAATTCTCATCTAGCTCAGTAGAAAGGAACATTTCCCTAAACAACAGTTCAATTCGACATCGCTCATCGGCCGCGTGTTGATCGATTAAGAGCAAAACATCGTCTGATGGTCCCTCCCAGTTGAGATTGACGGAAGCGCTATGGACCTTAGCCAAAATGAACTTTTTGTCCACCTGGGCTATCACTTCGGCAGTCTCGAGCGCACGACGTTGAAGTTTTCCTCGATATTTGGCAACCTGCGCCGTATCGAGCGATCCAATCCCCTTGAAGCAGTCGTGCGAAGAAGTAATTGTACTCTGCTGACCGGCGGACCCTGTGCCTAGATTTGGTATTGGGATTTCTGTTCGGCTGAAGGAAGGATTGTCCCATGCCCCCAACATGTTTTCTATCCAAAATGTTTGCGCTGGATGCTTGGACGAGTTATCCATATGATCGGTGGGAGAACGCTGGGTAGCTAATGACTTCCGCGAGTTCATCGTTTGGCCCGTTCGGGGATTAATCATGTAGGCCAACTTGTTGTGTGGATCGACCCAGGTGATCATCTTGTCTGATGGTGAGTCTCCAGGCGAATCCTCTGTCTTGTTTCCGCTCTCACCAAAGACTCCTTTATCCACGGGCCTTGGAAGAGCTGTGCGCCTTTGGTCATCATTTTGACGGGTTGGCCTATGTTTAGGGAGGATAGGCAAGGGACTCTCTCCCTGAATTATATCAGAAGCCACACGAGAATACCGAGGGTTTCGATGGGTCGGGGAATGTCCCTTAAGATCCTTAGCTGTTTTTACCCTAGACCAATTGGCAAAGCTTTGACCTGAATTCAGAGACTGGGCTCTTGGAAATGAGGGAATTTTCAGATGACCGCTAAATGCCTCTTCGGTGCTTGAAATCGACCGGCCTTGTTGTCGGGGGCCACGAGAACTGCCAGCCGCTTGGGAGACTGTGGAACGGATGCTCTGGTTTTGGTCCGACGACATGGTCTGCTGTTTGGCGGTACGAGGGCGAAGATTGTGTTGCTTTAAAAACTCATGAACCATCGCCCCAAGCACATCAACAATCCGTTGAACCGATTTGGCCGATTCTGGAAGATGCTCAGACCCATCATCATCCAATCGTATAGCAGCATTTGTGTCAATACGGATGTAAAACATTGGCCACTTATTGACGGAATTTGCCCAGCTTCGAGTGCTTGCGTTACTTGGTACATCAAGCTGATTCACCGAAGATGCAGAATGTGGAACATAGCTTCTGCCAGACATGGCTCCAACATTGCTGAAATCTGACAAAGCAAATAGCCGGTTCACTTCGTTATAAAGAACATTCGAGCTATTGCCCGATAGCACGGGTTCTTTCCCCAACGAGATGAACTGAACCTTCCGAGTTGGACTGGGTTGAAGAGATATTGCTCCCCGAACTATGAGGCCAGAAACTGAAGCTGAGATCTCATGCCAAGCATCCAAGCTTTGCGGTGGGATTAGCCCAGATTGTGTGAGAATCGACCCGATACCTTTGAGGTCAAATTCCCTCTGACCATGAGGGAAGTGTGTTTCGGGTACGGAGGCAGTTGCAAGACGAATGGACATCCGTTTGTTTCTTTCCACATCGAGAAGGACTAACTTTGAGAATCGAGGATTGGCTAGATAGAGAGACACCAAGGAATTCCTTAGATGGTCCCACTCTCGTTCTAGCTCGTCCGGCCGCTGAAGAGTGAGGGCTCGACTCTTAACGCGAACTGGCATGTTCCCAAAAAGGTCATTGACAGTTACAGAAGTGCCATGGCTGGCAGAGCGAAGCACATGATGTGGCGGTGCAGGGGTTAGTCGAGCCACAGGCGTCGAATGATGAAGGATAAGAGAGTTTGTGCATCCATGACGAATGTGACGAGATGTCACAGTGAGCAGAGATAACGAGGCCAGGGAGGCCAGGAACAAGCCTCGATGGCCATACAAGCCACTCAGCTTGAATTTGGATGTATCTATTACATATGTTAGCCAGCATACAGTACAACCTCAAGGTGGGGAGACATGCGGTGAGGCTTGCATAACCCTCCTGCAACTTCGAACTCGGCCGGAGAAATTCCATCGCCATCATCTTCAACTATACAGCCACCACGTTTGAAATTGACAGTGACGAAGATGGTATGTGCATTGGCATCCAAAGAATTCTTGACTAGCTCCAAAATAACACCAGTCAGATGTACAATGGATGTAGACGACTTGATCTTTGCAATCACATCAGAAGGTAGCGATCGTATTATTGACTGAGAAGGAGGCATTGATGTAGTGGTTTGTTGTTTGTATTCACCGGGACATTGCGCCACTAGATGCGTGAAGAAAGACCCC